TACACTGTGTGTGTGTGTGTACTGTGTGTGTGTGTACACTGTGTGTGTGTGTGTACTGTGTGTGTGTGTGTACACTGTGTGTGTACTGTGTGTGTGTGTGTGTACTGTGTGTGTGTGTGTACACTGTGTGTGTGTGTGTACTGTGTGTGTGTACTGTGTGTGTGTGTGTGTACACTGTGTGTGTGTGTGTACTGTGTGTGTGTGTGTACACTGTGTGTACTGTGTGTGTGTGTGTACTGTGTGTGTGTGTGTACACTCTGTGTGTGTGTGTGTGTACACTCTGTGTGTGTGTTGTGTGTGTGTGTACTGTGAGTGTGTACACTCGTGTGTGTGTGTGTGTGTACTGTGAGTGTGTACACTCGTGTGTGTGTGTGTACTGTGAGTGTGTACACTCGTGTGTGTGTGTGTGTGTACTGTGAGTGTGTACACTCTGTGTGTGTGTACTGTGAGTGTGTACACTCTGTGTGTGTGTACACTGTGTGTGTGTACACTCTGTGTGTGTGTGTACACTGTGTGTGTGTGTGTGTACACTGTGTGTGTGTGTGTACTGTGAGTGTGTGTGTGCACTCTGTGTGTGTGTGTGTACTGTGAGTGTGTACTGTGAGTGTGTACACTGTGTGTGTGTACTGTGAGTGTGTACACTCTGTGTGTGTGTGTACTGTGAGTGTGTACACTCTGTGTGTATGTGTACACTCTGAGTGTGTACTGTGTGTGTACTCTGTGTGTGTACTCTGTGTGTGTACTGTGTGTGTGCACTGTGTGTGTGTATACTCTGTGTGTGTACTGTGTGTATACTCTGTGTGTGTGTGTATATATATACTCTGTGTGTGTGTGTATACTCTGTGGGGAGCGGTAGTGTAGCGGTTAGCGCGCTGCGCTATGAACCTGGCGACCCGGGTTCGATTCCCGCTCACGGCCAACACCAGTGACGATTATCTTAACCGGTCCCGGGCCTCCCCTAGGTCGACTCAGCCTCAAATGAGTGCCTGGTGCGGTGTGTAAACATCGCCACTAGGGAGACAAAGGCGGTCGGGCGTGGTGCTGGCCACCCACCCCCTCGTGTACCGTTCCGGCCTTCATAGGTGCTCGCTAACAGCACTTGCCCCTACAGTCTGTTAAGGCTATAATGGGGGATCTTTGTCTTTGTATACTCTGTGTGTGTGTGTATATCCTCTGTGTGTGTACTGTGTGAGCGTTTTGAGTGTGTGCGAAGTTTGAGTGGGAGTGTGTGCGAGTGTTTGATTGTGAGTGTGTGTGTGAGTGTGTGAGTGTTTGATTGTGAGTGTGTGTGAGTGTGTGTGTGTGAGCTTCTCGCTACCAACAGCACTTGCCCCTACGGCTCTGCTAAGGCTACGCTGGGGGGGGTCTTTTGTCTTTTATCGAGCACTGCGGTGGTACACTTACACCCACCCTCCCCACCATCCCCACCCACCATCCCCACCCACCATCCCCACCCACCATCCCCACCCACCATCCCCACCCACCATCCCCCAGAGTGTACGCAGGAAGTCCATGTCAGCCTGCGATGACATCACTCTGCTTCTGGAGGTCTCCCCGGACCGCTCTCTGATTGGGGACTTCACCAGGGTGAGCCTCACGGCACCCTGCGGCAAACGGGGAGGGGGGTGGGTCCGAGCCACTGTGACTGTGTGTGTGAGAGAGAGTGCCCGCACACAAAGACAAAGGTCACCCCCGTATAGGCCGAGCAGACTGTTGGGGCAAGTGCTGTTAGCGAGTAGCAGCGCCTTTTGAAGGCCGGGTACGGTGGTGCACACAGAGAGGGGGTGGGTGGCCAGCATTTTGCGCGAGGCCGCCTTTGTCTCCCCGGTAGCGATGTTTACTACTACTACTGCACACCGCGCCGGGTACTCATTTGAGGCCGAGTCGACCTTGGGGAGGCCCAAGACCGGTCCAAGTAATCGTTGCTGGCGTTGGCCGTGATCGGGATATTGAACCCCGGTCGCGAGGTTTCGTAGCGCAGCAGCGCGCTAACCGCTACACACACGCACGGGCACGCGGATAGACACACTCCCACACACAGGTACGTAGACACACACACACAGATGTATACACGCACAGACATTACATAGACACACACGCAGATACATACACACACAGGTAAATAGACACACACAGATATATACACACACAGGTAAATAGACACACACATACATAGACACACACAGATATATACACACACACAGGTAAATAGACACACATACATAGACACACACAGATATATACACACACAGGTAAATAGACACACACAGATACATACACACACAGACATTACATAGACACACGCACAGATACATACACACACAGGTAAATAGACACACGTAGATATATATACACACAGGTAAATAGACACACATACATAGACACACACAGATACATACACACAGGTAAATAGACACACATACATAGACACGTAGATATATACACACAGGTAAATAGACACACGCAGATATATATACACACACAGGTAAATAGACACACATACATAGACACACACAGATACATACACACAGGTAAATAGACACACATACATAGACACACGTAGATATATACACGCACAGACATTACATAGACACACACACAGATACATACACACACAGGTAAATAGACACACACACATACATAGACACACACAGATATATACACACAGGTAAATAGACACACGTAGATATATATACACACACAGGTAAATAGACACACATACATAGACACACACAGATACATACACACACAGGTAAATAAACACATACATAAACACACGTAGATATATACACGCACAGACATTACATAGACACAGACAGATACATACACACACAGGTAAATAGACACACGTAGATATATATACACACACAGATATATACACACACAGACATTACATAGACACACACACAGATACATACACACACAGGTAAATATATACACACATACATAGACACACATAGATATATACACACACACAGGTAAATAGACACGCGTAGATATATATACACACAGGTAAATAAACACATACATAGACACACATACATACACACACAGGTAAATAGACACACGTAGATATATATACACACACACAGGTAAATAAACACATACATAGACACACACAGATACATACACACAGGTAAATAGGCACACATACATAGACACACGTAGATATATACACGCACAGACATTACATAGACACACACAGATACATACACACAGGTAAATAGACACACACATACATAGACACACACAGATATATACACACAGGTACATAGACACACGTAGATATATACACGCACAGACATTACATAGACACACACAGATACATACACACACAGGTAAATATATACACACATACATAGACACACATAGATACATACACACACAGGTAAATAGACACACATACATAGACACACACAGATACATACACACAGGTAAATATATACACACATACATAGACACACATAGATACATACACACACAGGTAAATATATACACACATACATAGACACACATAGATATATACACACAGGTAAATAGACACATGTAGATATATACACACACAGGTAAATAAACACATACATAGACATACATAGATATATACACGCCCAGACATTACATAGACACACACACAGATACATACACACAGGTAAATAGACACATACATAGACATACATAGATATATACACGCACAGACATTACATAGACACACACGCAGATACATACACACAGGTAAATAGACACACATACATAGACACACACAGATACATACACACAGGTAAATAGACACACACATACATAGACACACACAGATACATACACACAGGTAAATAGACACATACATAGACATACATAGATATATACACGCACAGACATTACATAGACACACACGCAGATACATACACACAGGTAAATAGACACACACAGATACATAGACACACACAGATATATACACACACAGGTAAATAGACACACATACATAGACACACACAGATATATACACACACAGGTAAATAGACACACACAGATACATAGACACACGTAGATATATACACACAGGTAAATACACACACGTAGATATATACACACACAGGTAAATAGACACACATACATAGACACACAGATACATACACACAGGTAAATAGACACACATACATAGACACACGTAGATATATACACACACAGGTAAATAGATACACGTAGCTATATACACACACAGGTAAATAAACACATACATAGACATACATAGATATATACACGCCCAGACATTACATAGACACACACACACAGATACATACACACACAGGTAAATAGACACACATGCATAGACACACATAGATATATACACACAGGTAAATAGACAGACGTAGATATATACACACACAGGTAAATAGACACACATACATAGACACACACAGATACATACACACAGGTAAATAGACACACATACATAGACACACGTAGATATATACACACAGGTAAATAGACACACGTAGATATATACACACAGGTAAATAGACACACATACATAGACACACATAGATATATACACACAGGTAAATAGACACACGTAGATATATACACACACAGGTAAATAGACACACATACATAGACACACACAGATACATACACACAGGTAAATAGACACACATACATAGACACACGTAGATATATACACACAGGTAAATAGACACACGTAGATATATACACACAGGTAAATAGACACACATACATAGACGCACACAGATACATACACACAGGTAAATAGACACACATAGACACACGTAGATATATACACGCACAGACATTACATAGACACACACACAGATACATACACACACAGGTAAATAGACACACACATACATAGACACACACAGATATATACACACACAGGTAAATAAACACACACATACATAGACACACACAGATATATATACACACACAGGTAAATAGACACACACATACATAGACACACACAGATATATACACACACAGACATTACATAGACACACACACAGATACATACACACACAGGTAAATATATACACACATACATAGACACACACAGATGTATACACACACAGGTAAATAGACACACACATACATAGACACACACAGATATATATATATACACACAGGTAAATAGACACACACATACATAGACACACACAGATATATACACACACAGACATTACATAGACACACACACATACATACACACACAGGTAAATAGACACACACATACATAGACACACACAGATATATATACACACACAGGTAAATAAACACACACATACATAGACTCACACAGATACATACACAGACATTACATAGACGCACACAGATACATAGATACACACAGATACATACACACATGCAGATACATACACACAAATAAATAGACACAGATACATACACACACACAGGTAAATAGACACACAGACACACACAGATACATGTGTAATGACGACTTAACACACTGCTCTTGAGATGGCACTTTATTGAAGACACGTTGGCACTTGACGTCAGGCGGAGCCCCCCACTGCAACAGCCCCGAGTCTCCCGCGCATCTCCCTTACATATCAACACGAGGCCACGGCCCCCTTCTTGATCATTCTCGCTGACTCTAGACGCTCGCTCCACTGGCAGACTCCACCGTCCTCTTCCGTCGCCTGAGCCATGCTCCCCGACTGAAGCATTCCCGTGGCCACCAGTCCCTTCACACTCACAACTGACTCCCCTGTCATTGCCTCCCATGGCCACCAGTCCCTTCACACTCACAACTGACTCCCCTGTCATTACCTCCCGTGGCCACTAGTCCCTTCACACTCACAACTGACTCCTCTGTCATCACCTCCTGTGGCCACCAGTCCACTCGTACTGCAGGCTGACTCCCCTGTCATTACCTTCCGTGGCCACTAGTCCCTTCACATTCACAACTGACTCGCCTGTCATTACCTCCCATGGCCACCAGTCTACTCACACTGCAGGCTGGCTCCCCTGTCACTACCTCCCGTGGCCACCAGTCCACTCACACTCACAACTGACTCCCCTGTCACTACCTCCCGTGGCCACTAGTCCACTCACTGCAGGCTGACTCCCCCTGTCACTACGTCAGGTGGTCACCAGTCCCTTCACACTCACAGCTGACTCCCCTGTCATTACCTCCCGTGGCCACCAGTCCCTTCACACTCACAACTGACTTGCCTGTCACTACCTCCCATGGCCACCAGTCCCTTCACACTCACAGCTGACTCCCTCTGTCACTACCTCCCGTGGCCACCAGTCTCTTCACACTCACAACTGACTCGCCTGTCATTACCTGCCGTGGCCACCAGTCCCTTCACACTCACAGCTGACTCCCCTGTCATTACCTCCCGTGGCCACCAGTCCACTCACACTGCAGGTTGACTCCCCCTGTCATTACCTCCCGTGGCCACTAGTCCACTCACACTCACAGCTGACTCCCCCTGTCATTACCTCCCGTGGCCACTAGTCCCTTCACACTCACAGCTGACTCTCCCTGTCATTACCTCCCGTGGCCACCAGTCCCTTCACACTCACAGCTGACTCCCCCTGTCATTACCTCCCGTGGCCACTAGTCCCCTCACACTCACAGCTGACTCCCCCTGTCATTACCTCCCGTGGCCACCAGTCCCTTCACACTCACAACTGACTCCCCCGTCATTGCCTCCCGTGGCCACTAGTCCCCTCACACTCACAGCTGACTCAACTGTCATCTCCCGTGGCCACCAGTCCACTCACACTCACAGCTGACTCCCCTGTCATTACCTCCCGTGGCCACTAGTCCCCTCACACTCACAGCTGACTCCCCCTGTCATTACCTCCCGTGGCCACCAGTCCCCTCACACTCACAGCTGACTCCCCTGTCATTACCTCCCGTGGCCACCAGTCCACTCACACCGCAGGCTGACTCCCCTGTCATTACACACAGCTACATAGAGACACACAAGTACACGCGCATACAGACACGCACGCAACTATATTTACACACAGATAGATACAGCCTAAGGGAGTTCTCCCAGTGCCAGCAGCTGTACATCGTCATTGTAACGGTGAATGCACACGCAGTCAGGCTCCCTGCTTGAACCAATTCTTGTGAACTGCCCGGGTGTTTCGTAGGCATTGATCAGTTTCGACATTCAGTGTCTCATCAGCAGCGTTTCTCTGTGCACAGCCACACGTGTTACCCCTGGTGTCTGGAAAGGATGAGAGCCTCAAGTACGTCTCGGCTGACACGGTGACCATCACACACCACACACACCACACACAGACACACCACACACAGACACACCACACACAGACACACCACACACACAGACACACCACACACAGACACACCACACACACCACACAGACACACCACACACAGACACACACAGACACACCACACACAGACACACCACACACACCACACACACAGACACACCACACACACAGACACACCACACACACACCACACACAGACACACCACACACACACCACACACAGACACACCACACACACAGACACACCACACAGACACACCACACACACAGATACACCACACACACACACCACACAGAGACACACCACACAGACACACACACACACAGACACACCACACACACACAGACACACCACACACACAGACACACCACACACACAGCACACACACCGAACACACACAGACACACCACACACACACAGACACACCACACAGACACCACGCACACACAGACACACCACACACACAGACACACCACACACAGACACACACACAGACACACCACACACACACACAGACACACCACACACACACACACACCACACACACAGACACACCACACACACACCCCCACACACAGACACACCACACAGACACACCACACACAGACACACCACACACCCACCCACACACCATACACACCACACACACCCCACACACAGACACACCATACACACCACACACACACCATACACAGACACACCACACACAGACACACCACACACACATACACACCCACCCACACACCATACACACCACACACACCCCACACACAGACACACCATACACACCACACACACCCCACACACAGACACACCACACACACAGACACACCACACACCCACCCACACACCATACACACCCCACACACAGACACACCACACACACACAGACACACCACACACACCCTACACACAGACACACCACACACCACACACACACACCACACACACCCCACACACAGGCACACCACACACAGACACACCACACCCCCAGACACACCACACACACAGACACACCACACACACAGACACACCACACACACACAGACACACCACACACACACAGATACACACCAGACACACCACACACACCCCACACACAGACACACCATACACAGACACACCATACACACCACACACACACCACACAGAGACACACCACAAACACAGACACACCACACACAGACACACCACACACACCCCACACACAGATGCACCACACGCCACACACCACACACACAGACACACCACACACACACAGACACACACACAGACACACACACAGACACACCACACACACACCACACACACACAGACACACACAGACACACCACACACCACACACACACAGACACACCACACACACACAGACACACCACACACACACACCACACACACACAGACACACCACACACACACAGACACACCACACACACCACAGAGACACAACACACACACAAACACACCATACACACCACACACACACACCCCACACACCCACCACACACACACACCACACACACACCACACACACACACCACACACACCCCACACACAGACACACCATACACACCACACACACCCCACACACAGACACACCACACACACACCACACACACCACACACACCCCACACACACACACCCCACACATACACACACACACCCCCTCCCAGCCCCCACACCGAGAGATAAAAACACACGTTGTGTGTGTGTGTTTTGGTGTGTGTTTCTTTGTGTGTGCGTCTGTGTCTTTGCTTGGGTCTGTGTCATTGTGTGTGTGTCTGTCTGTGTCATTGTGTGTGTGTCTGTCTGTGTCATTGTGTGTGTGTCTGTGTCATTGTGTGTGTGTCTGTCTCATTGTGTGTGTGTGTCTGTCTGTGTCATTGTGTGTGTCTGTCTGTGTCATTGTGTGTGTCTGTGCCTGTGTCTTTGTGTGTGTCTGTCTGTGCCTGTGTCTTTGTGTGTGTCTGTCTGTGCCTGTGTCTTTGTGTGTGTCTGTGTCATTGTGTGTGTGTGTCTGTCTGTGTCATTGTGTGTGTGTCTGTCTGTGTCATTGTGTGTGTGTCTGTCTGTGTCATTGTCTGTGTCTGTCTGTGTCATTGTGTGTGTGTGTGTCTGTGTCATTGTGTGTCTGTGTCTGTCTGTGTCATTGTGTGTGTGTCTGTGCCTGTGTCATTGTGTGCGTGTCTGTGCGTGTGCCATCAGCTGAGCCTGTTGCTGACGGGGGAGTTCAGCGACGCCGTTGAACGCTTCCTCGTCATCGACTGTCGCTACCCCTACGAGTTCCATGGGGGCCACATCAAGGTGTGTGCGTGTGTGTGTCTGTGTGTGTCTGTGTGTGTGTGTGTGTCTGTGTGTGTCTACCTGTGTGTGTCTGTGTGTGTGTCTACCTGTGTGTGTCTGTGTGTGTCTGTGTGTGTGTCTACCTGTGTGTGTCTGCGTGTGTCTGTGTGTGTGTCTACCTGTGTGTGTCTACCTGTGTGTGTCTACCTGTGTGTGTCTACCTGTGTGTGTCTACCTGTGTGTGTCTACCTGTGTGTGTCTACCTGTGTGTGTCTACCTGTGTGTGTCTGTGTGTGTCTACCTGTGTCTGTGTGTGTCTACCTGTGTGTGTCTACCTGTGTGTGTCTGTGTGTGTCTACCTGTGTGTGTGTCTGTGTGTGTCTGTGTGTCTTTGTGTGTCTGTCTGTGTGTGTCTACCTGTGTGTGTCTGTGTGTGTCTGTCTGTGTGTGTCTACCTGTGTCTGTGTGTGTCTACCTGTGTGTGTCTACCTGTGTCTGTGTGTGTCTACCTGTGTGTGTCTGTGTGTGTCTGTGTGTGTCTACCTGGCTGGGTCATGTAGCCCGCATGCCCAGCCACCGCATGCCTCTAAACAGCTTTTGTTCGGCCGGATTGAGGGGGCTAAACGGGTGCGGCACGGGCTAGAGAAGAGATGGAGTGATGTGGTACAGGAGGACGTGGAGCTGAGTGGACTTGCCGATCACCGGTACCAGCGGTGTCAAGATCGGCCTCTGTGGAGGAGGCTCGTGAAGGACGCTGCTACTGGGCAGTTGGAGGCAGTCGCCCTCCAACAACAATGGAGGGCGGAGGAGCGACGCTCACAACAACGAGCGGAGCGCGGGTGGCTAAAGCACAGCGGGTTGCCACAGTAGGGGGCACAGGTGGTGCATCAGCCAGTCATCTCAGTCAGTCGACCCGTGGCACCTGGGTCTGCCCCGTGACCTCCTGCCAGCGGGCGTTCGACACTTCACGTGGCCTCAGGGTGCACATAGCCTGGCACAAGCGTCGTGGTGACGTCACCGCCACTTAGTGGTGAATGGCGGTTGTTGTGTGTGTCCCTGTGTGTGTGTCACTGTGTGTGTGTCTCACTGTGTGTGTGTGTCTCACTGTGTGTGTGTGTCACTGTGTGCGTGTGTGTGTCACTGTGTGTGTGTGTCTCACTGTGTGTGTGTGTCTCACTGTGTGTGTGTGTCTCCCTGTGTGTGTGTGTCTCCCTGTGTGTGTGTGTCTCACTGTGTGTGTGTGTCAATGTGTGCGTGTGTGTCACTGTGTGTGTGTCACTGTGTGTGTGTGTCTCACTGTGTGTGTGTCAATGTGTGCGTGTGTGTCACTGTGTGTGTGTCACTGTGTGTGTGTGTGTCTCACTGTGTGTGTGTGTCTCACTGTGTGCGTGTGTGTCACTGTGTGTGTGTGTCACTGTGTGCGTGTGTCACTGTGTGTGTGTGTCTCACTGTGTGTGTGTGTGTCTCACTGTGTGTGTGTCTCAGTGTGTGTGTGTCTCAGTGTGTGTGTGTCAGTGTGTATCAGTGTGTGTGGGGAGCGTTGGTTACAGTGGTTAGCGCTACGAACCTGGCGCCCCCGATTTTGGTTCCCGCTCACGGCCAACACCACCACGGTGCCGATGATCTGAACCGGTCCCGGGCCCTCCCCTAGGTCGACTCGGCCTCAGACGATCACCTGGTGCGGTGTGTAGCAGTAAACATCGCTAGCTCTGGGGAGACAAAGGCGGTCGGGCGTGGCGCTGGCCACCCCACCCCCCCTCGTGTGCCGTTTAAACAGCACTTGCCCCTACAGTCTGTTCAGGCTATACGGCGGGGGGTGGTGGTATCTTTGTGTATCTTTGTGTATCTGCGTGTGTGTGCGTGTAGGGAGCGGTGAACGTGGTGACGGAGGGCGATGCTCTGAGCCAGCTGCTCGTGAGCCCACTGCACCCCTCGGAGCCCCGCAAGCGAGTCGTCCTCGTCTTCCACTGCGAGTTCTCCTCCGAGAGGGGGCCCCGCATGTGAGTCGCCCGCACGGCAGCTCGGCCGCTCACCCACTCGTCCAGTCCAGGGCTGTCTGTGTCACCGGCGCGGCCACCGCGAAACCCCCTGAGAGAGAGATTGAGAGAGAGAGAGAGACACCCAGACCCCAGGGCTTGAACCCTGAACCCCAGGGGTCTCAGCGTCTCCCACACGGCCACTGTGAACCCCCTGAGAGAGAGAGAGACACCCAGACCCAGGGCTTGAACCCTGACCCCAGGGTCTCAGCATCTCCCACACGGCCACCGTGAACCCCCTGAGAGATTGAGAGAGACACCCAGACCCAGGGCTTGAACCCTGACCCCAGGGTCTCAGTGTCTCCCACACGGCCACTGTGAACCCCCTGAGAGAGAGACACCCAGACCCAGGGCTTGAACCCTGACCCCAGGGTCTCAGCGTCTCCCACACGGCCACCGTGAACCCCCTGAGAGAGAGAGAGACACCCAGACCCAGGGCTTGAACCCTGACCCCAGGGTCTCAGCGTCTCCCACACGATCACCGTGAACCCCCTGAGAGAGAGAGAGGGAGGGAGGGATTCCCGTGGCCCCGGCGATGATGAGCGGCGCAGGGGTACGGACCTCGGCCAGATCGTGGGGGCCGAGTGCCCGGACACGCGACCCCCTTGGCACCCACCCCCCCCCCTCTCGGCCGTTGCCTGCACGTGGCGGGCGAGTGCCTTGGTGGGGGGGGCGGAAGGGGGTGGGGGCCGTGCCGGGCACGACAATCAGTGCCAGAGGCTGAGCCGGGGCCATGCGGTGGAAGAGACGCAGAGACCGAGACACACACACACAGGACAAGGGTGGTGGTGGTGGTGAGCGGTGGGGGTGGTGAGCGGCGGGGGTGGTGAGCGGCAGTGGCGGTGGTGGTAGTAGTCAGCGGCAGTGGTGGTGAGCAACAGTCGGTCGTGGTGGTGGTGGTGGTGGTGAGCGGCGGTGGCGGTGGTGAGCAACAGTCAGTCAGTTGTGGTGGTGGTGGTGATGAGTGGTGGTGGTGGTGGTGGTGATGAGCGGTGGGGGTGGTGAGCGGCTGTGATGGTAGTGGTCAGTGGCCGTGGTGATGGGCAAGTCAGTTCTGGTGGTGGTGGTGAGCGGCGGTGGTGGTGAGCAATAGTCAGTCAGTTGAGGTGGTGGTGGTGGTGGTGAGCGGCGATGGCGGTGGTGAGCGGCGGTGGCTGTGGTGAGCGGTGAGCGGCGGTGGCGGTGGTGGTGGTGAGCTCTGCACGTGCGGTCCCGCTAGGTGCCGCTTTGTGAGGTCGTCTGACCGGAACGGGAACCCCTACCCACGCCTGCACTACCCTGAGCTGTACGTGCTGCACGGGGGCTACCGCGCCTTCTACCCCACGCACACGGTGAGCGGCGGGGTGAGCGGCGGGGCGAGTGGCGGGGTGAGCGGCGGGGTGAGCGAGTGAGTGAGCGAGTGAGTGAGCACGTGGCGAGTGAGTGAGTGAGCACGTGGTGAGTGAGTGAGCACGTGGTGAGTGAGTGTGAGCACGTGGTGAGTGAGGTGGCGAATGAGTGAGCACGTGGTGAGTGAGTGAGTGTGAGTGAGTGAGCACGTGGTAAGTGAGTGAGCACGTGGTGAGTGAGTGAGTGAGCACGTGGCGAGTGAGTGAGTGAGCACGTGGCGAGTGAGTGAGTGAGCACGTGGTGAGTGAGTGAGCACGTGGTGAGTGAGTGAGTGACGTGGCGAGCGAGTGGTGAGTGAGTGAGTGTAAACACGTGGTGAGTGAGTGAGCACGTGGTGAGTGAGTGAGTGACGTGGTGAGTGAGTGAGCACGTGGGGAGTGAGTGAGTGAGTGGTGAGTGAGCACGTGGTGAGTGAGTGAGCACGTGGTGAGTGAGTGAGCACGTGGTGAGTGAGTGAACACGTGGTGAGTGAGTGTGAACACGTGGTGAGTGAGTGAGCACGTGGTGAGTGAGTGAGCACGTGGTGAGTGAGCACGTGGTGGTGAGTGAGTGAGTGAGCACGTGGTGAGTGAGTGAGTGACGTGGTGAGTGAGTGAGTGACGTGGTGAGTGAGTGAGCACGTGGTGAGCGAGTGAGTGTACACACGTGGTGAGTGAGTGAGCACGTGGTGAGTGAGTGAGCACGTGGTGAGTGAGTGAGTGAGCACGTGGTGAGTGAGTGAGCACGTGGTGAGTGAGTGAACACGTGGTGAGTGAGTGTGAACACGTGGTGAGTGAGTGTGAACACGTGGTGAGTGAGCACGTGGTGAGTGAGTGAGCACGTGGCGAGTGAGTGAGCACGTGGTGAGTGAGTGTGAGCACGTGGTGAGTGAGGTGGCGAATGAGTGAGCACGTGGTGAGTGAGTGTGAGTGAGTGAGCACGTGGTGAGTCAGGTGGCGTATGAGTGCGTGGTGAGTGAGTGAGCACGGGGTGAGTGAGTGAGCACGTGGTGAGTGAGTGGTGGGTGAGCACGTGGTGAGTGAGGTGACAAATGAGTGAGCACGTGGTGAGTGAGTGAGTGAGCACGTGGTGAGTGAGTGGTGGGTGAGCACGTGGTGAGTGAGTGTGTGAGAACGTGGTGAGTGAGTGAGTACGTGGTGAGTGAGTGAGCACTGAGTGAGTGAGTGTACACACGTGGTGAGTGAGTGAGTGAGTGTAAACACGTGGTGAGTGAGTGAGTGACGTGGTGAGTGAGTGAGTAAGCACATGGCGAGTGAGTGAGTGAGTGACGTGGTGAGTGAGTGAGTGACGTAGTGAGTGAGTGAGCGCGTGTTGAGTGAGTGAGTGAACACGTGGTGAGTGAGTGAGCGCGTGGTGAGTGAGTGAGCGCGTGGTGAGTAAGTGAGTGAGCACGTGGCGAGTGAGTGAGCACGTGGCGAGTGAGTGAGCACGTGGTGAGTGAGTGAGCACGTGGCGAGTGAGTGAGCACGTGGCGAGTGAGTGAGTGAGTGACGTGGTGAGTGAGTGAGCACGTGGTGAGTGAGTGAGTGTACACACGTGGTGAGTGAGTGTGAGCACGTGGTGAGTGAGTGAGTGAGCACGTGGTGAGTGAGCAGGTGGTGAGTGAGTGAGTGTACACACGTGGTGAGTGAGTGAGTGTGAGCACGTGGTGAGTGAGTGTGAGCACGTGGTGAGTGAGTGGTGGGTGAGCACGTGGTGAGTGAGTGAGTGAGCACGTGGTGAGTGAGTGTGTGAGCACGTGGTGAGTGTAAACACGTGGTGAGTGAGTGAGTGAGTACGTGGTGAGTGGTGAGTGAGCACGTGGTGAGTGAGCACGTGGTGAGTGGTGAGTGAGCACGTGGTGAGTGAGTGAGTACGTGGTGAGTGAGTGAGCACTGAGTGAGTGAGTGTAAACACGTGGTGAGTGAGTGAGTACGTGGTGAGTGGTGAGTGAGCACGTGGTGAGTGAGCACGTGGTGAGTGGTGAGTGAGCACGTGGTGAGTGAGCACGTAGTGAGTGAGTGACGTGGCGAGCGAGTGGTGAGTGAGTGAGTGTAAACACGTGGTGAGTGAGTGAGCACGTGGTGAGTGAGTGAGTGAGCACGTGGCGAGTGAGTGAGTGAGCACGTGGTGAGTGAGTGAGCACGTGGTGAGTGAGCACGTGGCGAGTGAGCACGTGGTGAGTGAGCACGTGGTGAGTGAGTGAGCACTGAGTGAGTGAGTGAGCACGTGGTGAGTGAGTGAGCACGTGGCGAGTGAGTGAGTGAGCACGTGGTGAGTGAGTGAGCACTGAGTGAGTGAGCACGTGGTGAGTGGTGAGTGAGCACGTGGTGAGTGAGCACGTAGTGAGTGGTGAGTGAGCACGTGGTGAGTGAGCACGTGGTGAGTGAGTGTGCACGTGGTGAGTGAGTGAGCACGTGGTGAGTGAGTGAGCACGTGGTGAGTGAGTGAGCACGTGGTGGTGAGTGAGTGAGTGAGCACGTGGTGAGTGAGTGAGTGACGTGGTGAGTGAGTGAGCACGTGGTGAGCGAGTGAGCACGTGGTGAGTGAGTGTGCACGTGGTGAGTGAGTGTGCACGTGGTGAGTGAGTGAGCACGTGGTGGTGAGTGAGTGAGTGAGCACGTGGTGAGTGAGTGAGTGACGTGGTGAGTGAGTGAGCACGTGGTGAGCGAGTGAGTGTACACACGTGGTGAGTGAGTGTACACACGTGGTGAGTGAGTGAGCACGTGGTGAGTGAGTGAGCACGTGGTGAGTGAGTGAGCACGTGGTGAGTGAGTGAGCACGTGGTGAGTGAGTGAGCACGTGGTGAGTGAGTGAGCACGTGGTGAGTGAGTGAACACGTGGTGAGTGAGTGTGAACACGTGGTGAGTGAGCACGTGGTGAGTGAGTGAGCACGTGGTGAGTGAGTGAGAACACGTGGTGAGTGAGCACGTGGTGAGTGAGTGAGCACGTGGTGAGTGAGTGAGCACGTGGTGAGTGAGTGTGAGCACGTGGTGAGTGAGGTGGCGAATGAGTGAGCACGTGGTGAGTGAGTGAGTGTGAGTGAGTGAGCACGTGGTAAGTGAGTGAGTGTACACACGTGATGAGTGAGTGAGCACGTGGTGAGTGAGGTGACGAATGAGTGAGTGCGTGGTGAGTGAGTGAGCACGTGGTGAGTCAGGTGGCGTATGAGTGCGTGGTGAGTGAGTGAGCACGGGGTGAGTGAGTGAGCACGTGGTGAGTGAGTGAGCACGTGGTGAGTGAGTGGTGGGTGAGCACGTGGTGAGTGAGGTGACGAATGAGTGAGCACGTGGTGAGTGAGTGAGTGAGCACGTGGTGAGTGAGTGGTGGGTGAGCACGTGGTGAGTGAGGTGACGAATGAGTGAGCACGTGGTGAGTGAGTGAGCACGTGGTGAGTGAGTGGTGGGTGAGCACGTGGTGAGTGAGTGAGCACGTGGTGAGTGAGTGGTGGGTGAGCACGTGGTGAGTGAGTGTGTGAGAACGTGGTGAGTGAGTGAGTACGTGGTGAGTGAGTGAGCACTGAGTGAGTGAGTGTACACACGTGGTGAGTGAGTGAGTGAGTGTAAACACGTGGTGAGTGAGTGAGTGACGTGGTGAGTGAGTGAGTAAGCACGTGCCGAGTGAGTGAGTGACGTGGTGAGTGAGTGAGTGAGCGCGTGTTGAGTGAGTGAGTGAGTGAACACGTGGTGAGTGAGTGAGTGAGTGGTTAGTGAGTGAGTGGTGAGTGAGTGTGAGCACGTGGTGAGTGAGTGAGCACGTGGTGAGTGAGTGAGCACGTGGTGGTGAGTGAGTGAGTGAGCACGTGGTGAGTGAGTGAGCACGTGGTGAGTGAGTGAGCACGTGGTGAGTGAGTGTGCACGTGGTGAGTGAGTGAGCACGTGGTGAGTGAGTGAGCACGTGGTGGTGAGTGAGTGAGTGAGCACGTGGTGGTGAGTGAGTGAGTGAGCACGTGGTGAGTGAGTGAGCACGTGGTGAGTGAGTGTGCACGTGGTGAGTGAGTGTGCACGTGGTGAGTGAGTGAGCACGTGGTGAGTGAGTGAGCACGTGGTGGTGAGTGAGTGAGTGAGCACGTGGTGGTGAGTGAGTGAGTGAGCACGTGGTGAGTGAGTGAGTGACGTGGTGAGTGAGTGAGCACGTGGTGAGTGAGTGTGAACACGTGGTGAGTGAGCACGTGGTGAGTGAGTGTGCACGTGGTGAGTGAGTGAGCACGTGGTGAGTGAGTGAGCACGTGGTGGTGAGTGAGTGAGTGAGCACGTGGTGAGTGAGTGAGTGACGTGGTGAGTGAGTGAGCACGTGGTGAGCGAGTGAGTGTACACACGTGGTGAGTGAGTGAGCACGTGGTGAGTGAGTGAGCACGTGGTGAGTGAGTGAGCACGTGGTGAGTGAGTGAGTGAGCACGTGGTGAGTGAGTGAGTGAGCACGTGGTGAGTGAGTGAGCACGTGGTGAGTGAGTGAACACGTGGTGAGTGAGTGTGAACACGTGGTGAGTGAGCACGTGGTGAGTGAGTGAGCACGTGGTGAGTGAGTGAGCACGTGGCGAGTGAGTGAGCACGTGGCGAGTGAGTGAGTGAGTGACGTGGTGAGTGAGTGAGCACGTGGTGAGTGAGTGAGTGTACACACGTGATGAGTGAGTGAGCACGTGGTGAGTGAGGTGACGAATGAGTGAGTGCGTGGTGAGTGAGTGAGCACGTGGTGAGTCAGGTGGCGTATGAGTGCGTGGTGAGTGAGTGAGCACGGGGTGAGTGAGTGAGCACGTGGTGAGTGAGTGGTGGGTGAGCACGTGGTGAGTGAGGTGACGAATGAGTGAGCACGTGGTGAGTGAGTGAGTGAGCACGTGGTGAGTGAGTGGTGGGTGAGCACGTGGTGAGTGAGGTGACGAATGAGTGAGCACGTGGTGAGTGAGTGAGCACGTGGTGAGTGAGTGGTGGGTGAGCACGTGGTGAGTGAGTGTGTGAGAACGTGGTGAGTGAGTGAGTACGTGGTGAGTGAGCACTGAGTGAGTGAGTGTACA